TTTTTTTCCTTTTTTTTTTTTTTTTTTGTAGTAGTATCCTTACCTTGGCCTACTACAAAAGTTCTTACCTGTTGATTTTTGATACTTTGAAGGACTAGGTTAATGGGTAAGGGGCACACATGTAGAAACCCAAGAAGGACCCTTGGCCAACCAACTTTTACAACAAAACCAAACCAAAATGTAGCCTTTAATCTTACTGTCCCTGAAAAACCTACACGAAAGTTAAATCTATTCATCTTAAAACTATATCACATACTAAATTAAAATACAGTACAAATGATATCTTCTTAATCACATGCATCTTAATGAAATCAATGGGTGTGGACAGCAGAATAGGGGATTACAGATGGAATTGAGTGGCTGATGAGGAAGAAGTTATAATTACGGGATTTTCTGCTTGTGCTAGTGGACCAAATGCCAGTTCCTGAAGGTGATTTATGTGACTTGCCACTAGAAACACAGAGGTCATATTGGGGTCAGATGCCCTCTTCTACTCCTCACTCAGAGTTCAGCCCACAAGGCCAGAGCTTCTCTTTTCCCCTAACTTGCACCAGAAAAGCCTCTTCCCTCTGAGTCCTCTTTGGAAGAAACTAGGTATTTTATACTTTCTACTTAAAAAATTAAAATGCTGACAAATAACTAAATGCTAACATTAGTTAAAAGCTTGCACTATGCCAAGTACTATCTTAAATGCTCACATAATCTCATACAATTTTCACAAAATACCCTCTGAGGTAGGTCTTAATAATACCTCCACTTTACATAAGGAAGCTGATGATACAGGGAAATTAAGCAACTTGTCCAAGATAACAGAGCCGACCAGACCCGAAGCTAGGATTTGAACTCAAGCAGCCTATGTGTGACAGCTGTTTATCCCTGTAACACAATAGCTGAGACAATCAACTTAAAGGAAGGAAAGGGTTTTTTGGTTTTAGCTCATGGTTGCTTGGCCTGTTTTTTGGGGGCCTGTGGCAGCACAGAATAGGCAGGAGTGCTTGTTCTCATTATGGCCTGCAAGGAAAAAGAAAGGAGGGGAGGAGAAGGAGCCAGGATTCAAGGATCCCCTTCAAGGGCATTCTCCAATGACTTAACATCCTTCCACGAGGCCCTGTCTCTAAAGGTTCTTCCACTTTGCAGCAGAATCACAGGCTGGTGACCAAGCCCTCAACATACGGCACATTTCCGGTCCAAACTGTAGCACAGCCTAGCTCTGGAGGCAAGGATCTGCACTATTACATGGGGGAATCGCATGCTAATCAGTTACTAGAGGAAAAGATCATTCTGATATCTTTACCAATTAAAAATAAATGAGCATAATGAACTAAAAGTCAACTTAAATATTTAATAAGGGAAATAGTCAAGAGTAGAAAGAATATGAAATTAAAAGATATATTAAAAAAGGAAGGATAGGCTATGGGTGTAGTTCAGTGATAGGGTGCCTGCCTGATATACCCAAGGCCCTAGGTTCAATTTCCAGTGTTAAGAAGACAAAAGATCAAATTGGTACGGTATATTGAAAAAGAAAAAAGATTTTTTAAAAAAAGACTATAAGACAAGAAGAAAGAAAAATAAAAATAAGTAAGTATAGAAATGAGAACAAGGATTTGGCATTTGAAAGAGCACTATTACTGTGCAGAAACAAGTAAATTTCAACAGGCAAATGGGCATGTGCTTATAAAATTATAAAGCACTATGACAGATCAAATAAGTGGAAATAAGAAGCTCTTTCCATGACAAAAGCCCAGTCTTTTGGCATGAATATATGAAAAATTTCTAAATTTCCAAACAACAAACCAAGAAAATCCTATTATGCAAACTTCAAATGTATATGAACGTTTATATATGTCACATGTCACCCAACTCACTTTATGAAGACAAAATGGCTAATTTCAGAATCTGAAGAGGAAATTTGTTAGCTTTTTGTTGCTGTGACCAAATACCTGAGAAAAACAATTTATCGAAGAGAGGTTTATTTTGGCTCAGTCCATGGTTGGCTGAGTCCTTGGCTTTAGGTAGTGCTGGGGAGGAGAGGAGAGGAGAGAGAGAAAAGAAGAGAGAGGGAGAACAAAATGTACCCCTCAAAAACATGCCTCTCTAGTGACCTACTTCCTTCAACTAGGCTTCACCTCCTAGAGTTTCTACTACTCCTAATGGCGCTATCAGCCGAAAGCCAATTGAATGTAAGAACTTTTAAGGGACATTTAAGGTCCACAGCATAACAGGAACCAAATCAAATTATAAGCCAGTCTTATTTATGTATATAAATAGTGAGACTCTTATCTTAGCAAAAGGAGAGAAAAATACATGTAGTGTTCACTGTACCTTATTTTAGAACCATAAAATGGTTACAAAGGAGAAAAACTCATATAGCAATCATATTAATGGAGAAAATTATAATATGTATTTTTTCTTTACATATGTGTAACTATCCAAAGAGATTTTAAATAAAATGTTTGGTAAAGTTTTAAAGTTTTAAAAACTCTAAAATTGGGTGTTGGTGATTTAGTGATTGTTTTTTGTCTTATGGGCTATCTTTCAAGAATTCACATTATATCA